CCCAAAAGTCGTGAAAAGCCTTCTCTGTCTAAGCTAACTAGTTCTCAGTCTCTTACAATGAGTATACCCCTGCAAAAGTAGATAGGTTTAGTCTTTTATACCCTTCAATATAGTCTGAGTCCATCGGTAGAATTGGATCCCGTAGAAGAAGGACTTGATTATGCTGGGGAGGGACCGGATGACCCTGTGGTGATACTGGATGATACGCTGGAAGCACCGAATTGTATTGTGGTGGTGTCGGGTGATGCGATTAGGGCACCAGATTATAATGTGGTGGTGCCGGGTGATGCGGTTGGGGCACTGGACCATACTGTGGTGGTGCTGGATGGTATTGTGGAGGACCAGAGTCATACTGGGATGGCTTAGGATCCTCCCGCTGAGGGGTGGCTCAAACTGTGGCAGTGGGAGAGGGTCAGGTAGCTCCCTCATTTTCTTTCAGGCTGATGGGCAGCGATGAGTCTCTCCAGCATTTCAAATAATCGGACAACATCCTCTTGAAGTGAACCCTCCCAGACTGCTCGATTTAGTGAGGGTCTTCCTCTCCTCATCTATTTATGCCTGCATTTCATAAGGAATGGTTGAGTGATAATTTTTTTTTTGCCTTAGGTATTTGTGTAAGGAATGGTTCCAAAAAACCTGGATTTGATACTAACTGTAAAGGTCCAGAACTTAAAAGAAAATAAAGTCATGAATTAAATACAAAAGCGAAATAATAGAGAATGTAGGGTTTACATTCCTTACATAATAATTTAGAATGCCCAATAGAATTACGGGAATATCTCTTCTAAAAGAAATTACGAAAATTAAGGAAATAAACAAAAAGTCAATAACTGAGTATTCTAGGACGACCTTCAATAGCTTTTGAAGGAAGTCCGGGTGGTGAACTATCCACAACCTTTTTGTTGATCTGGATCTGGGTCTTGGTCCTCTTGATCTGAAATAGTTAATGCAAATGTGAACTACACTAACCCAGTAAGAATATCACACTACTCACTGATACAGAAACTGAAGGTTGGTAAAAATTATAAAAACAACCAATGGAACTCTTGATTTAAACAAATTCATTTATCATAAATAAAACTATTTATTGTATATATTTACTGTTGCGAGATTTTCAAAATCGACTTATAGAGATAATAACTCAAATAACATTCCAATATCATATTCAAGTGAGTAAGAATAATAACTCC